CACTTCCTTTGTTAGGAGCCATGCTTGAAAAATTCCCTAAGAAGTTTGAGCCAGCAGTGTGGTGGCCTTCGGCGCCAAAAGGAATGAACAGCTCAAAATACCAGGAAGAAAAACAAGAAGGGAAGAATAATAATGGGTGGAATAAGGGGTTGGAAATGGAGCTTAGGAATGTTCTGGAAGTGGTGAAAGAAAAGGACATGAAGGACTACGAGAGGTTGGGAAACTTGGTGTTGAAGGTAAACAAGAGTTTGGCCATTGCAGGGCCTTTACTCACCGGCATTGCCGCTGTGGGATCAGCATGCGTGACGGAAGGTTCGTCATGGGGAGCTATAGTGGCAGTTATAGGAGGGGCATTAGCAACAACTGTTAATGCTTTTGAGCATGGAGGTCAAGTGGGGATGGTGTCCGAAATGTATCGAAACTGTGGTGGATTCTTCAAACAGTTAGAGAACTCGATCCAAGACACGATGGAGGAAGATGAGGAGTAAAGAGAGAATGGAGAATTGTTTGAAATGAAGCTGGCTTTGAAATTGGGAAGGAGTTTGTCACAACTCAGAGATCTTGCTAGAAAATCTGCTTATTCTCGAGTAGAGGGGACAACAACCGATGAATTCGCTAGCAAACTCTTCTAATGGTTTATCTTGTAACATAATTAGCTAACAATTAATCCATTTTTTATTCAATTTTAGTTAGTTTTTTCATGTAATTTATTTTTTTTATTTTTCTATCAAATCTTGTAATATATTCTTGATGTTTTTGCGGACACGCAAGCAAAAAATTATTAATCTGCTCTGACTCATCAAAACAATGAAAAAAATGTGTGGCAATTTTCTCGTCAAGTTATTACAACTCCCTTGTCATCTTTTACCTAATCGACAACCACCGTGTGTAGACTTTTCAGTTTACTAGTGGGAGACCATCTCAGAACGTAAAAAACATAGTATTTTAAAGAAATAAGTAACACTTGAAATTATACAGGTAATAGTCAAAGTTGTGTATGCAAAATGTGTAGTTTTAAGCATGTTTTTATATTTGAGTCATAATCTAATATGTTCGTCACTTTTTTCTTTTGTTAATTTATATTTCTTAAACGGGAAAGCATTAGATCTTGTTTGGATGAATTGTTTCAAAATATTAACAAGCAAAAAATATAAATATTTTTTTTCATAAATTAAGGTTAATTTATATTTTTTAAATCATAATTAATTATGGATTTCTTTTATCGAATTTGGGTATATAAATTAATTTATGTAAAATGCCATTTTTTTTTTCAGAAAATGTGTTTTTACTTTATCCAAACAAGGCTTAATTAAAGTTCTATAATGTCATAAATTTAAAATTTTATGGTCACTTAAATCTAACAAAAGTTTATCTAAAGAACATCTGAATATAATAAATATAAAAAACTTCTATCAACCATTATAAAAAATCTGAGAATGAAATACTTCAATCTCTTAAGAGATTTTATTTTCCAGTTTTCTAAAGATGAAAGTATTTAAAAGAAAAAAAAATGTATTAAAAGCTATCAGTAGTTTTTTCTATAAAATTTAATCATAAATAAAATTAGTAAATATTCAACACTATTATCGTATTGGCCAAGAAAACAATCATGATCACGATGATAAATAGACTCGCCTTTAGGAGTATTGTCCAAATATATTCCAATTTTGATGAAAAATCTTTAAAATAATTAAATACGAATGAGTAATATTTAATATTTTAAATTGAATATATGTCTCGTTTCTATATTTATCTTAACATTCATTTCCGTTTAAATTATTAAAATAATTATAATTATTGAATAATTATATATATATATATATATATATATATATATATAATTTTTAGTTTTTAGTTTTATAACTTTTTTTTCTTTTAGTTACACAAGTTTTTTTTCTCTAATTGTTGGGCCTAGTATAAAATTAATTCACATTTTCAAAATATTTTTTATTTGATTGTAACTTTTATGCACTTATGTTGAAATGAGGTAGGTAAACTAAATATAGTTTACGTCTCATATTTAAATATTTTTATTTCTTTTCAATATTTTTTTTATTGTTTATTCTTTTACATGATAATGTTTAACTCCCAATTTAAGTAATAGTATAAACCTTTTATTTATGAGGTAATTTAAAACAACTATCTCATTTATTTTTTTATGCTTAAATTTTTTATTTAAATAACTATTTTCATTTTCTTAAAACTATTTTCATTATCTTTCAATAGTTTGACCAATTTCATATTTTGAAAAATTTTCTTAAATCTCTAAAATATTTTCATCTTATCATAAACTTTAATTACACAATGGTGTATCAAATTTATTTCTAACATACATTTAATTTTTTTACTTCTTTTTAATATTATTGTTTGTTGCCTATTTTTATCATGTTAAACATTATTTTATATTTTTATATATAATTATTTTTATTTTCTAACTTATTATCATAAGTGTAATTTATCACTAGAATTATATCAAAACAATTTTTGACTATAGTATAATAATTTAATGTTATTGTCATAAATCTTTTTTATCACCATGCAAGGTATATTGAAATTAAAAAAAATGAAATACCTATGCTATATTTCATTTATTATCAGTTTAACTTTTTGTTTGGTGTAGTTTCATTTAAGTAGTGTATTATAATTTTTATTGGTGAATAAAAAAGGATATTTCATTATAATTGTAAGTATGAGATAGATATCTAAAATATTTTTAAATTTGAATATATATTTTCTTTCTATATTTTAAAAAAATATTTTTAAATTTTATCAACTTTGTTTTATTAATGTTTACAAATTAAATAAATGTTGTTGTTATTGTAAATAGACATTTAAAATATGTTTTCTAATTTAAAATGTATACTATTATAATTTCTTTCTAAATATTTGATATTCATTAAATGATAATATGTTCTTTTGATATTAAATTTTTTATAATAGTTATATATTTTTTAAAAGTTTTTTATAGTATTATAAAAAATTAATTAATTAATTTTAAAACAGTAAAGAAACTCGTATGACTATGGGTACGGATACAAGTGTGTATCAATAATTTATAGTAAAAGTTAGAAAAGAGACAAAAATTGTATACCGGTTAAATTTAAGTATAAAAATAAAGAGGAATTATTTTTTTTATAGATGAGTATGAGATAGTCAAACCCGCCCCTCCAATATGTTGTCATTCCTAATCATGACAATAATTAATTATAAATATTGTGTTCTCATTCCTAATCATGACAATAGTTAATTATAAATATTGTTAATAAATCCTACCTAGATGAAAAATTTGTGATATTAGCCCAAAATATTTTTAAACGTTTTTAAAAGTAAAAGTTACAACAAAAAAAACTAACAAAATGGTATGCTTTAACGAAATACAAAAATATTTATTATCATTGTATATATTTTAATTGAATTCATTTTAGAAATATTTGTTGTCCATATTAATTCGATTGATTGAGTTATTTTTGGTAAAAATAATTATGAGAAACGTTTTAAAATAAAGAACTTGATCTTGGTTGGTGGTTATTCTTCATGGGTTGGCTGTATATTTTTCTATGCCTTAGAGGTCAGCATGCAAATTCTTATATCTTTTTTATGTTAACGTAGAGTGACATGTGGTGTAGAAGCATTTCAAAATGTTGACTAGAGCACAATTTCAAGCATATATATTTCAAAATATCAGTCAGCGATAAATGAGTATGGAAAATTTACTTAGTGGATACATCAAAGTAAATTTCGAAGTTGATATTAAATTGATAATTTTAAGGGATATTGAGTAATAAATATAATATTTTTATTATTTAATTATTAATGGATTAGATAAAAATATTATGGTATTTTTAATCTGTGAATACATATTCAATTTTTATTTGAATATTTTTAAAATTTTATAAATTTCTGTTTTATAATTTGAATTTATATTTAAAAAATATTACGAAAAAAACTATCAACGAGTACTTTATACCCGAGTTCCTCTTGTCCTTATTACAAGACACGTTTTTAGGAGAAATGGTCGCATCTCTTTTATATTAATTAATAATGATAAAATAATTGTAAGTGTCATTAATAAAGAAGGTCAATAATTTGATATATTAGTAATATTTTTTTCAAAAACTAAATAAAATAAATTATTTTCATTCATTTGTGTAATTATATTAAAAAAGCCTGCTATTGAAAAAAATATATAAAAGGAAATATCATGCATAGTTAAAACTGTCGAATGACTTGTGCCGGTCTGACTTTATATTATAAACAAATGATTTTTTTCTGACCCAGTCTTGGGCCAACTAATAATCAAATCATTTTAGATCGCTTCAAATTAAATTAAACAAATAAAAACTGTTAAAAAAAAATACAAAACATGTTTTTGAGATTCAAACTATATTAATGAAAATAAAATAATGCTTTTAGCATAGCTAACAAAAATTTAGATAATTTCTTATTTGTGTGTGTGTTTTTTTATTTATTTAGCTGTCTTACTGTATATTATTAGAGCACTATTACTTTATTAAATATAATCAATGCTTCCAACCTAAACCCGAAAATCCAACTTTCACCTTTGTTAATTTTTTCCGTTACATTTTTTATTCAAAAAATAGACTACTCCGTTGATTTTCTGTCTCTTCTGTTTTCTGAAACCAGAGATATGATCTGATGTGTGATTTTTCCATGAAGTTTTAACATATTTTTTTTATCAGTATGACAGTTTACCATAAACGTACATATTATCTTAGAAAAAACCGTGGATTACTTTAAGATCTAGGAAACCGAAAGAAACTCCTGTAATAAGAAATACAATATTATATCTGAAAAAGGAAAGATGTGTAATTTAATTTTTGAATTCGTGAGAACTTTTGTGATTTAATTTTCTACGAACTTTTATGACTATTTTAACCTTGTGATTTATGTAAAACGTAGTCGTGATACCATTATTCTCTTAAAAAAGCAATTGAAAATTTTGAAATAATAAATAGCATTTTTTTATTTTTCCATGTGATTCATGCATTTTATAGCATAAGGAGTAATATTTGACGACATACTTATCAATAGTCTTTTGAAAAGGAGCCTCCTTAAGATACAATAACAAATAGTTGTGAATATGGTTGGTTTGAAGCATGAAAATATGAGAGTGAAGGGCAGTGATAAATTTTGGAGTTCCTAGGGATGGTTGACGTTACGTTGTTGGGTTGTGAACTTTGCTCCACTTGTTGCCGTACCGAAACCAAACCCCATACCCATTCCAAATCCAATTCCAAAGCCATTGTTAACACCATGATCGTTGCTTGAACCTTTGTTATAATCTCCTTCTCTGCCTCCACCTCCACCAATGCCCATGCCACCTCCAAACCCACTACCATGACCATACCCTTCATTACCACCTCCACCACCACTTCCCCCTCCCTCTCCTCCTCCTCCTCCTCCTCCTCCATCCATGCCGCCATTCCCTGTACCGCCACCGTAACCACTACCATACCCATGACCTTCCCCTTCACTGCCATCTCCACCTCCACCTCCACTTCCACCACCACCACCACCTCCTCCTCCCATACCACTCACACCACCACCAACACCTGCGCCAAAACCACTTCCATACCCTTCACCTCCATTTCCACCACCACCTCCTCCTCCTCCACCACCCCCACCACCCCCTTCTCCCATGCCAACTGCTCCCACACCTGCACCTCCACCAAAACCACTACCATGACCTTCTCCTTCATTACCAAAACCATCACCTCCACCACCACCTCCCCCGCCTCCTCCGCCACCTCCTCCTATGCCTCCTATTCCTCCACCTTCACCAAACCCACTACTATGACTTTGCCCTCCATTGCCAACTCCTCCACCTTCACCTCCACCTCCGCCACCACCACTGCCGCTTCCTGTGCCTCCCACTCCTCCACCTACACCATAACCACTGCCGTGACCATGTCCTTCATTGCCAACTCCCCCACCTTCACCTCCACCTCCCCCTCCACCTCCACCTCCCCCTCCCGTGTTTCCCATTCCTCCCCCTTCACCAAAACCACTACCATGACCTTGTCCTTGGTTGCCAATTCCTTCACCTTCACCTCCACCGCCTCCACCTCCTCCTATGCCTCCCACTCCTCCACCTGAGCCAAAACCACTGCCACGTCCCTGTCCTTCATTTCCAACTCCTTCCCCTTCACCGCCACCTCCTCCTCCCCCACCCCCCTGTCCTCCATTAGCCCCGCCTACACCAAAGCCAGCACCAAACCCTCTACCTTGACCTATTCCACCATGACTTGAGCCACCGCCGCCGCCTCCGCCTCCTCCTCCACCGCCGCCTCCACCTCCTCCTCCATCGTGCCCAACGCTTACCCCAGCACCAAATCCACTACCATGACCATAGCCCACACCAGTTTCACCAACACCTCCACCCTCACCTCCACCACCACCACCACCACCTCCACCTTGTCCATAACCCCTACCAACTTGTACATTTTGTTCATCGTTCTTAGAATCGCTACCGCCTTTTCCAAAGAAACTGCCGCAACCCCTCCAACTTGTATACGAGCAATAATTATCAGCATAGTTTCTACCATCAACATACATGCCATGAGTAACACCACTCATCGAAGCACAAAAAGTTCCCCACAGAAGTAGAACCAAGTACAAAAACTTAGGAACAGCAGCACTCATTTCTTCTTTACGTACGTACAACCACAGCTGACTGAACAACTTACTTGCTTGACGTTATTGGTTCTGATGGCCCCTTTATATAGGAAAACAAATCTATTAAAATATCCATCATGGTCATGCTAAATTCAAAAAGTGTCATGGGCAAGAGAATTGAACACTCAAGTCAAGAAGGGTCCAATAATTTTCTTGCTTGGTCAACCATGGCCGCCTGAAAATATGACACAAGTTTAGACCAATCATAAATTAATGTCTATCTGATAATAAAAATCCAAAACCTTACATTCCCATGATTGTTGGTGATGCTGCGTTTTAATATAAAGTATATTAAGCTCCAGTTAGACAGCATTATACTACAACCAATAAAATTATATGTAGTGGAGTTGGTGACAGTATCATCTCCTAATATATCAAAAGGAAACAAAGATATATATTCAAGTTTGATTATATGTCATCCATGACTTATCATTTCAATTCAAGAACAGCTTCTGAATCTGATATTTAATCAGTACTCACTTCTCTTTAATTAATTGAAGAAATAATGGAGGCACGTTAATGAAGGAAAGGACTGCAAGGTGGGTAGCATGTGACTAATTAAAAATATTGAGTTTTGGTTACTGATATTTGTTCCCTTCGATATAGAGTATGTTTGCTTTCGTAGTGGCTTACTAAACATTTGAAGTCTTCGCCCGCCAAAATACAAGCAAATCCCCACTTGCAATAATCCTAAAATTTCATCATGGAACATAAAAGTTGGAAGACAGCTTGATAATGCAACTACTATCACTAATTCCTCAGCATATTCTCATTTTTAATGTTATCAGTGTAACTTTGATTAAACATTTTATGGTTTAAATGTTGTGAATTTTCAAATTTTATTATTCAATTTTTTTTTATGGATTTTACCATTACATTTTTTTTTTCAATTCCCATATTTAAAACAACGTGTCTGTTTCGTTAGAAGAAAAAAAAAACTAATAATACATTATCACCTCTTAGGAATTTAACAGTTTGTGCAATGTGCGAAATTAAACTTTTGTTGAAAAATTAGTTGTAAAATTGAAAAATGGTGATATTTAAGTGGTGAAATATGTAATTAAATAAGAATGTAGTTATGTATTGTGAGTTTTAAGTATATGACATAATCTTATGTTTTTTTTTTTTTTACTTATTTAATGTTAATGTTGTTAACGTGCTAGGATTAGTGCTATTTGACTACTTGAAATACAAGGGAGTGTGGAAGAAGAACTCAATTAATTTTTTCTAATAAAAAGAGTCAATCATTGTCAAGTAAAAGAATGAAATGGACATTGATGGCTTCCTTTTTGGGTATAAAATATATGGTTTTTGATATGGAGTTAGATCTTTTATGTGTGAAGATAATTGGTTGTTGGAGCATAATCTTTTTTTCTAAGATCTGATGCTTCTAAAATCTGCCACGTTATAGTAAGGAAAAAAAAACTAGAAAAGCACTATATGTAATAAAGGGCACGTTTTTATTCATCAAATTATGAGCAGTGTACCACTTTTCATCTGACACAAATTTTCAAAACATCATGGAGGCCAAAATGTTCGAAAGATCTTACTTGTTTTGACAGGGAAGGATAATAAATTTTTTTAACAATTTTTTGATAATACAGTGTGTATTATTATTTTATTAGTCTAAATATTCGAAATAGATTAATCACTGTTATATAAACGGTTGTAAAAAGGTTATTGAAAAAAGTTTTTAAAAAAACATTTTTCTTTGGCAAGAGATTGTTATTCCTTGTAATTCTTCGCATTTTCCGACAAGTAAATCTTAATGAGTTTATTAAGATCTTTGGTATTTGGTAAAATCTCAACTACTTATATAATTGTGTGAATATAATTTCTCAAGGTGGAATACAATCTCTGATACTGCTTGAAGTTGTTAATCCAATCATAACATGCATTTTCAGACCAAGTTCGATTAATCATTAGAAAATTCCGTTGCTCTTGCATTATTTTACCCCATTTCCTAAATCAGTTTTTGTGATTCAACTTTCTTTTTTTTAATTATGTCTCTTTGTTCTGTAAAATAATAAATATTTTCAAATTCATATGGAGATTTTCCATAGTCTATCATTCCTTCAAGCATATCAAAATTATTTCTCACAGTGTCTCAAGTATCAACCCCAATTATATGTATTTAGCAATGTTTCTGTATATAGGATAAAGAGACACATTTTTCTATTGTTGTTTTCTTCTTCTCTGACTTTTGAACTTCCTACTTCAAATTTTTATAGTCTGAATACTTCAATGCTCAAGTTAGTGACTTTGTATGATAATAATGATAATATTCAATAAAAAGTGACTACTCAGAATTAGTTCAACCTGTTTATCTTTGTGGCTTAGCCTTTTATTTATAAGTTATTTTATGAACCCTAAACTGGCATAAGTCTAATAAAAGGAACATACCTTTAAATTTGGTCTACTCAAAAACAATTTTCTTATCCTGCAATCAGTTATCAATACCTTTAATCAATATCTTTAATCATTCTATTATTAACTTATTAATATGTTTATTTGTCCAAACCATTGGTCTAATATATCTTCAACGCTGACCCAATTATGACCCAACATCAATAACTTAAGCGATAACTCAACTTTAATCTGCTTGATTGTTGACCCAAAAAATAGACCGACGGTTACGAATGCTTAACCGTTTGGTCTATCCTATATATCATACAAGCATTATTCAATGGAGTAAAAGAGGAGGTTGGTTATTTTGTTTGACATCTCTATAAACAACATAATTAAGTTTTTAATTTAGTTTATTGTTATCCCTATAACAACTTCATTTCACCCAACGTGAATAAAATCACAAATTATCTTTTAATTTAACATATTGTTATTAATGTCAATTTCAATTTTATTTGCAGTATTGGGAAATAGGTGATATTTTAAGAATATTTCTCGAAGGAAAAGTTAAATTCGTAGCAATGTTAAAGCAGTGATATAGTGTACTGAAAAAACTAGTAAAAGATATACAGTTAGAACATATCCAAAGTACATATTCAACCAATTTTATTAGGCAAGATAAATATGATTATTTGTTCTCTTAAAAAAGTGTCTTCAATATTCTATAAAAGGGCAAAATTTTCATTGTAAAAATTAGATTATTGAATACTTGTACTAACCTATACACTGTACTTATATCAATCATCTGCTAAATATATTAGACTCAAAACTTTACTTAAAACCCATTAAAGAAACATATACATGTGTCTGCGTGTTGTTTTGTGTGTTCAGATTGTAAAATGAAGCTACGTTATATATATTTGATATGATTGAAGAAATTTATTCCTAAATATTTTCTAAGAATGAAAATGAAATTATTTTTTATGAACTAATTCGTAAAAGTTGTTTTTATTGATTTTTCTAAAAATATATTTTTAGCATATAAAAATTCATCTGACTTATGAAAAAATAATTATATATTTTTTATTTTTTATTCTAAAATTGTTTAAGAAAAATATTCTTTTAAACTCGTGTCCTTATTTTTTTTTTTGGTTTTAGGTTTAACTGCTATGTATAGTAGACTTTCGTAGTCGTACAGCCCAGGTATCTGTTTGGTCAAGTTTTCGTGTGGTAAATTGTCTTCGTCTTTTTTTTTCGTCTTTGTCTTTGTTAATTTAAGATCCTCCTAGTCTAATTTGATTGAGAATTGACATGAAGATGAAAATAAAGAAATATTATTAGATCATATATTTTATAACAGTTGTAAAATTAAAATTACTTTTTTTCAATAGAGTTTTTAAAATTTTAAAATGATTTGAATTGATTTATTAGTTCAAGTATTGGTGCACCATCTTAAAATATATTTTAGGTTTAGTTCTAATTTTTGTTTGATTTTATCAATTAAGTTTTAATATATATTTTTTAATAAGGTCTTCATTAATTTTATTCAATTTATATTTTAACATTATTTAAATAATTAATGAATAATAAGTTATGTATTTTTTTATTATTATTATTTTTTTATTTTTTTAATTTAAAAATAATATTAATATATCTATGTCAATGTTTTATAACTTAGCTTTTATATTCATTATTTTTATTTTGTTTTAATTATTTTTAAAATAAAATAATATTATTCATTTTTAAATAAAACTTAAATTAAATTTTTGTATAATTTTATACTAATTTTTATTTAAACTATTTAATTGATTTTTAATTTAAAAGTTAGATAAAATATTAAATAATTTATAAAAAAATTTAAGTTCTTAAAATTCTAAGTTTATAATGTTATTTTTTATCTCTAAAATTTTCATTCTAATTTTAAATTAATTTTAACTTTAAATTAAAATATTTATATAATATTTACATAAAAATAATATTAACTGCGAATTTATAAAATCGTAACATATATAAGTGAGCTATAACTTTATTTTAAAAAAAGTTACTGTATCAGTATACCCTCGTTTCTCATATAACCGAAATTTATTTACATAATTAATTCAAATATTGGTGTTAAGTTAGTCTTTTTATTTTATGTAAAAAAAAATTAATTTACCCAGAATCTTTAGCTAATGGAAGAATATTGTTTATGTATTTTTGTCATTTAAGTTTAGACTGATTATTTATTTTGTTGTTTTGATGCACAAAAGAAAAGAAAACAGTTTTCTTGGCATTCCATACTCAAGTTAAGTGCAAAACTGATTACTTATTTAAATAAATTGGTCTATACTTTTTTAAAAAAAGAACTGGCTAAAGTTTTGTTTCTCTTTTTTTAAAATGATTTATTTGATAATTTATTTAAAAACTTGATCTTCTTTATATAGAATTCTTTTATATGTAAACATCTTACAAAAACTGAAAGTAGTATTTGCCTTTTCTCTGATGGTGTAGTTTTGGTTTGGTTTGTTTCTTTGATTTTTAAAACAATAATTTTACTTATTATTAACCACGTGTGTCAATTAGCGAGTTATACTAAATGTTATCATTTCAGTTTTATCAATAAAAATAACGTCTTAATTCCATAGAAAAACATGTCTTAACTAATAACATCCTTATTTTCTATAATTTGTTATGTTTTTAATATTTATAAAAAATTATTTAAATTTTTAAAATTGGCTAAGTTATTTAAAAGTAAAAATATAAGATTGTTTTAAATTCAAAATTAGATGATATTTTTGAAACATGACTTTAAAGGTTTTCATTCTTTTATATATAATAGAAATATACTCTTTATATTTTAAAATAAGAACTATCTTAGAAGGAGTTTACATCTTAAAATAAATTCTCAAAAGAAAAATTGTAGTTTTCAATGCACGAAACTATATAGCAAAGTCAATCCTAACAATTATGAAATATGAAGTTGTATTATTCTATTATTAATAAAATATTTTCACTCCAAATAAGAACACCTTTACTAACTAACAAAATACTGAAGTTTTCAAGACACAGTGTTCATCCGTAAATTATCCACCATGTCTCTTCCATATCCGCCTTTGCCTATCCCACCACCGCTTCCATTTCCTACACCACCGCCATTGCCTACTCCACCACCACTGCTACTGCCTACTCCACCACCACCTCCATATCCTCCACCACCGCCAGTGCCCACTCCACCACTACCTCCATTTCCTCCACCACCGCCATTGCCTACTCCACCACCACTGCTACTGCCTACTCCACCACCACCTCCATATCCTCCACCACCGCCAGTGCCCACTCCGCCACTACCTCCATTTCCTCCACCACCGCCATTGCCTACTCCACCACCACCGCCATTTCCTCCACCACCGCCAGTGCCTGCTCCACTGCCACTTCCATTTCCTCCACCACCGCCAGTGCCTGCTCCACCACCACCTCCATTTCCTCCACCACCGCCAGTGCCTGCTCCACCACCACCTCCATTTCCTCCACCACCTCCATTCCCTACACCACCGCCAGTGCCCACTCCACCACCACCTCCATTCCCTCCACC